ATGGAGATCGTATCGTGGTTTGGGACGACGGCGACGCAGACCGCCTCAAGGACGAACAGAAGGCCTGGGAGGCAATGATGGTGTGTATCCGCTCCCAGCTGCTTTATCATTGTCTAAACGCGCTTTCAGTTTGACCCGGAACCAGATTCGGACGAAGACTCAGACGACGACGACGACCCACCTGAAGATGACGACCAAGAAGACGACTATGAATCAGAGGCTGGTCCATCAAGAAAGCGGCGGTCATTAGGCGACGGAAACGAAAGTGGCAAGCGGCGGCGGACGGACGATGAGGTGTGTCAATGTTGTGCACCTTTACAATCAGCTCTTAACCGTTTTTCAGCGAATACCACGCATGTCGCGCGACGAACGTGATGAATATGCTCGCTGTCTCGGCAAATACTATATGGCTGGAACATGGCATGGCCAGGGCGCGGCAGCCACCATTTACATCCTCGCCACCGTTCTAGAACGCGTTGATAACGACCTCCTCTGGCTAGCTATCCTCGGACTAACATACCAATACACAGCTGCACGAGTATCACGCGCGAAATACGACATCTTCCACTCTGTATATAACGACGAAGTAGCTCGACTCAATCCTCCCCCTCCTACTGGCGATAAAGCCCTCATATCTCTAAATCCCGATGACGCGAGTATCCGAGCCACTGACGAACTCCGCTTCATGTTATTTCGACACTGGACGTTATACGACGCGATGTTTCACTCGAGCTACGTGGCGAGCAAACTTGGTATATGGCAGGACAAGGGTCGAAAGAAGCTCACTGGTTTACTCGCCAAGATGGGCTTCTCCATACCGCAGACACAGCAACCGTACCCTCACATGGACATGGACCTGAAAAAGGTTCTAGTCCAGAAATTGAACGACATTGCACCAGAGTATGGCATGGTGGAGCTCTCATACCCATCCTTTATGCGATGCTTTGGGTACCGCTCGCAGCCTCTTTCGGCTGCAGATGCTGTTGAGGGGATTGGTGCGTTGCTGGATGTGGCAAGTGGCGTACGGATGGAGATTGAGGTTGAGGGTGCGCGCAATGGTGGCGAGTGGTTTGGTGGAGGCAAGCTGTGGGAGGCACCCTCAGCCGTACGAGAGAGCAAGCGGAGAAGAGAGGATGAGCGGGAGAACGTGCCGCCTGGTGCTGACGGTGCGCAGGCTGGGAAACCCAAGACTTTTGAGGATGATGACGAGTCGGACAAGTCAGAGGTCAAGTGGTGGGTAGAGAACTTTTGGATGGCATATGATGCTCTGGTTGAGTGAGTTCCTTGATCTTCGAGCGCGTCTATTGACTCATGTTGTTGTCTGTAGCATCGTTCCTTTACGACAGGCGCTTAACCTCTCAATGTCATTACATCGTGCCATCATACGGCAGGGCACATCGATTATCGATAAGCGCGACATACGCCCTATGCGAAGTCATCACGTCGTCGTGCTATCTCAAGGTCCCGATTTGAACCTTTTCGCACACCCGGGCGTTTTGTCGCGGCTTGCGTTGTGGTTGGTGGACGCGCTCCGCGACCGAATGACTGGGTCCAACCTTGGGCGCAAATCCAAACGCAAGTGTTTACCCTTCGTCGTGGCCTGCTTGAACGAGAGCCGGGGATCGTACATGGTCGTCGGTGTCACGGCTGCGTTGGATTTCGGAGATGTGCGGAAAAAGTGGGTTGCTTTTCGCTTTAGTTTGCGTTCTGTGTGTTGATTGATTGTCCAGCGAGTTTGCACTGCAATTTCTTGATGCTAAAGAGCGATGTAATGCAAGAATACGGCATGGGTCGTTTGATACGAGTGTTCTGGAGATTGACCAGCATGATCTGAAGCTTTTCCTGGACACGTTATGTGAAGGGCCGGTCGACACTTAGATGGGTTTTTGCAGATATTTATCCTATTCATCTATTTCAACGCTCTCTATGCAATACCTGTTGTAACAATATATCCAAGTGGAGTCGACCGGAATCTTTGACTAGGATTGCATTGGTTTGAATCGAGGCGCCAAAGTTATGGTATAAAAATGTCGCCACAAGGCTGTTCAAGTACTGAATCTTACGACATTCTGCTTCTTGTATAATGATAGTGGATCTAGTTGACTTGTACACACAGTATTTAATCCTTCGTTCTGATACGGCATCGAGATAATCAAGAGCTGAGCTCAACCAGTTGCTCAGTGCCTGAGACAGACAAGCTGGAGAAAACAGAGAGGCTCCTCAAAGAACACCTTTTGTACTAGGAACGTCGGAACCACCCGTTCTTTCAATGGCCTGTCGTATAGCCAAAGCCAGTGCCTTGAAGGCGGACTCTGATCTACGAGCAAGTCAGATGAGTTGACATCAGTAACGGCAATATGCATACCGGTGGTGATCGTTTTCTCCCCGAAGAACATCGACGTGTAGTGTGACGCCCGACGCGATGGCGAAGGAGTAGAATATATGGGGGATCATCTCAGTAGAGAGATCGCCAATCTTTTCGCGCTTTAGGCCAAGATCGGTGACGCAGTATGGACGCGAGCAAATGTCAATGACTGCTCTTGAAAGTGCCTAGCAAAGGTATGTGTAATGTTCGGTTTCAAAGAAGAAAACGACAAACCTCATCCAGAGGCGCGAAACCTGTGCCGTAACGACGAATACCGCGTACCTCACCCAAGGCTTGCTTAAAGGCAGCTCCGAGGGCGATGGCGCTGTCCTGTAATGACAACCCGTCTCAATCTGATTGGCCGGGAGTACCAAAGGACATATCTGCAGTGTGATGGTCGTCTATCCAGAGATCGCCGGTGCACTTCATGGTCAAAGACATTCCTCCATGCTTTGCGAGTGCTGTGTACATCTACAAAATTAAATTCAGAAAACATGATGGTAAAATGTATTATGTATTTCGTTGTACATGGTCAAGAAAGCCAATACCAGTCTTGACATCGATAGTCTGCGCTACGCCCGAGCCAGGTGTGCAGTCGAGGTTGAGGAAGACCTCTATTTCAGTTTCGCTTGTTTTGCGCGAGATCGAGGCCGTTCTGGCAGACATGACGGTCGAGAGCAACAGACGAAAACAGTCACACCCAAGTCAGCCTCTGCCCTCTACAGGCAGCGTCCCCGATGGCTTTGTCGCTGTCACGGACGCTCTGCTCGCGACGCGTCGCCGTCCGCCTACTCCCTCCAAACCGCACCTTTTTCTCCTTTTTACGCAAAAAGAAAACCGCGCAAATTGAGCCTCCAGAGCCGGTGCCGTTATTGACCGAGGACAACCTGTTCCATGCCTTTTCAAAGTCGCCGATGCCCGCGGTGCGCGCGCGCGGCGAGGTCATCCAGGCGATGGCGCCCTGTCCCGTCTGCGCCTCGCACGACCACCAAAACTACGCTCCCATCGCGGCCCAGCCCAAGACTGTCAAATTTGAATGCCCCGACTGTGGCTGGCCGACGCACTGCTCGGAGGAGCACTGGAAGGAGGACAAGGAGCACGAAAAGTACTGTGCACGGTTACGCGAGGCGAACGAAGATGAGCATGACCTGCGCAGTGGGCGGCGTATATGGGAGTTTGAGATGCCCGGTGTGTGTTTACTGTCTACGGCGATGAACACGTCTGATATCGTTTACAGGACCGCAGGGATACGAAGAGGCCGTGTCGTTCTCCAACTGGGATGTCTACTGGTACACGCGCGGCCATCCGTCCATCGACACCGCACGGTCACGTCGGCATCTCAGCAAACTGCTTAGCTATCCTGTCACCATTGGAGGCGTACTGCACCAGTTTAGCAGTCTCATGCTGAATAACCAGCGACTGACGCCAGAGGGTAGTCGGTCAATGGCAGGTCAGGCAAATCACTTGATTCCTTGTTACAATCTCCTCATGTGCTATTTAGCTATTCGTTCTACATTACACGTCCCGATTGGTGCCCCAGATAATCAGGTAGCAACGGTGGGCAAGCCTCAAGTCCGTATTTTCATTCTCGGAGCGCGTGCAGAGTCGTCCTTGCCCCCGCATATCTGGGAACAGCTTGGATTTCTGTTTCCGTCCGCCAATTTCAACCTTTTCTTCGTTGGTCCGCAGGTTTCGCTCCCCAAGGATGTTCAGTATCCTCAAGCGAAGCCGGAGGGGACACCATCCTCTGGAGGTGGGAATGCAGCTGCTGCAGATAACTCCAAGGTAGAAAGCACAGATGGCACGGAATCCGCTGTAGACGGCGCGAAAGTGGAGGTGAAATATGACGACACAAAGTCAGAACCCCACATCAACTGAGGTTACTCAAGCCAAAGAGGACAAGCCTCTCTACGTTCCCAACATCTACCAGCCTGAAATCCCCGCGACAATCGTTCCTCAAAAGCGTACTCGGGCATCCATGAATCGATACAGTGTCCCGTCTTACACTACACCGTATACATACCAGATGACCTTTACCGGTCTACAAACCAACTACAAAGACGTGCATCACCTCTTTGAAGAAACGCTAGACCCTTATAGCGATGTGTTTTTCGTCTTTTCGCCTGGCTTTGGCTTCCCGTCTCAGTCGTCGATGGACGAGAATGGCGAACCCCTTCTCCAGATCTCATCCCCCACCGAATGGGGTCCCGTTCTCCCCATGCTCTTAGCGTCGAAATGCCCTATATTCGTTACAGGCTTCTCCCCCGCCGATGTCGAACGCGACATCAAGTCCCTTGCCACGGCGCCTGGCGTCGCGGGCGAGTTTGAGTGGGTACTGACGCCTGGCCCGAATCCGTTTGGGAGCGAGAAGTGGGAAGTCGCAGACTTTGACCCTCGCGTCATGGTCAAGACCAATTGGGGTATCTGGGCCATTCGTGGCAAAAGTAGAGATATACAAGAGAGGACCTTACTCGACAAGCTCCTCCTGCGGTAGTTTATTATAATGAATTTATTTCTAACTCCATTTCAAACAGTATTTTACGTTCTACGCTTCAATACATAAAGCAAAGCTGTTGTGGATGTACGGAGTCTTTGTTGGCTGAGATATAAAAGCTACGCTACACTTCAACGTCATGGCCTGATGGTCTAGTAGTATGATTCCTTGTTAGGGTAAGACCATTCGAGGAGGTCCTGGGTTCAATTCCCAGTCAGGCCCATTGATATCTAAAAGATCATTGATTTTTGTACCACCCGAATCGCGATACTTTCTTGATATCAATAATCAGATACAAGTGTACATTTAGAAGAAAAACTTCGGAACGCGCACTACAATAGCGCCGGTATTACGACAACATTGAAGGAAAGATCGCTCACTGCTAGCACTTGACTTTGTTCCATTCATTCGAAAACTACCAAGCGCCTGGCGCCATGACCTTTAATCTATTTCTTATAGCCGCCTTCACGTCGTAATGGAGTCTTTTTCCTCCATTAGCGCGCACCTATCTCAATGCTCAAGTAACAAAGGCCTCTGACACGAGTCTTCAGAGTGCCCATCAACACTCTCTTCCCTTCGTACAGTCACTGAATGGAACATCCTCCTTCTGACATCCTGCCTCTCCACCTCTCTGCGGGCTAGACGGCGCTCACGCGCAACTGCCTGGCCACGTCGACTTGGATGCGCAGTGGTCGCCCAGTGCTGAGCCGCCTCATTATCGCTCAGATTTCACAGGGAATCTATGCTTGAGGCTGAAGAAACGTCACTGCCCTTTAGTTCATTGTCCAACGGAGGTGACCACGCATGCAGAGGAAGAAGCACTACGCATTTCTGCGGCGGTCCAGGTGAGAGTTTTCGAGTCCGGATGATATCGGATATCGCTGACCTGTACTGTTTAAGGATTATCCGACGATTATAAAGACAAGTATCCAGAAGACGCTATTGGCGGCGAATGCGGCCATTCTGCTCGAGTGTGGCGCATGTCTCGTGACGAGGCGCGCACATACAATGTTCAGATGGCGAGAACCACCGTGGAAATCTCGATGTGGTCATTGTTGTTGTACGTCCATTCATTCGTTGTTGCTCTTGCCCACTATTGACTATCCGATTCAGTCCGGTTTCTTCTCTGTCGTTGTTAGCCTATTCCTCACAAAGTCTAGCGAGAAGCTAGATGTCGATTACGGACAGATGACATCCCTTTTGGTCTTTGAAATAGCGCAGCTCCAACGTGCAGCGCTTACGGGTGCCTCTGAGAGTTCCATTCCTCTGTCACCGGTCAATCCGGATTGAACTCTGTTCATCCCGTCTGCTTCTGTCATCTGGGTCAACAACCTCTGGTTCACCAGTCTCTCAGCCTTTTCACTGCATTCCTCACTGTCCTTGCCAAACATTGGATTCATCATTATCTGTCACTCCCATCGGGAACTGCCCGTAATGTTGCTTCCGCTTCATTGGACTCATGAAGTGGCATGTCCCTCTATCATTAACCTCATTCCTGCAGTCTTAAATATATCATTTGCTTTATTTTCCATGGTTCAATAAGGAATGCAGTGCAGGATATGCTGTTGCTGCCATCTCTATAGTGGCCTTCCTTGCATATGTGGCAGCCATGCCTACCATAGACCCTCAGATTCCATATACTACACCCCTCTCTAAAACATTCTATGCTCTCTATTGTGGTTTTCAAGTGTCTCTACTTCACTTGATGGGAAAGTGAAATGTAATCAGTTCAAAACAAAGTAAACAGTACTCTACATCCCTTTAAGCTCTTGAATTGGAGAGAGTACAAGAGCAGATACCTCATCTGGATACGGGCTTTACTTTGGCTATCCTCCAACTCAACTAAGAACTCTGTTCATGATCAGTATTGAATTCATTGGTGGTCTGCCCTCTCAGATCTCCCTCAACGCCGAGGAGGCTCCTCGCGCGCCCACTAAATGTCAACTCGATGGATACATTGATTACCGCTATCTGCCCGACGATCTCTTCACAGTGTGCCTAAGCCTCTCGGCGCTCTTTGGAAAGGCCCAGTTGGCCAACAACAATGAATCAGAGACTGGTCTCCTCCGGCTCATGAGAATGTGCCCGAACGATCCAGCCGTGGCCGGACTGATCCAGACGCGGGTGTGCAAGTACGCAGACATCCTGCAAGGTTGGCTGAAAAGATGACTTGCCCGCCGCAGTTGAAGAACCTGTAAGTGAGTTCAAGCAGGTTTTTTTTTCGTTTCTTACGTCTTTTTGTAGCCCTCACCTCAAGAAGTAGTGCGCTGCATTGCAGAGGCTTCGGACGCGACGAAGATCGACGACGATAAGGACCAAAAGCAATCGATGTTCTCTATGTTCAGGCGTTCCAAGTTTCCTGGCAGGCGTCAGTCCGTCAGCTCTGCTGGGACAGAGGAAGAAAAGGTTGGCGTCAAAGGTTCAGCAGACGCTGATTGACGTACAAAGAACACTGTATGGGGTAAGTAGTAGCTTAGCTTTCGTTTTCTCCATCTCTTAAGAATCTTCTGTTCTGTGCTTATGCCTTCCCTCGTAATCATGACTTTCAAAAGACAAAAGAATACAAATTTATTTGATTTGGCACTCATCTTATACAGCATGAAAAGCATGCATTCAGTAAGCCTCGATACCAGCCATCTGTCTCCCCTTCAAGCTCAACACCGGGCGCTTGTCTGGAACTTGACGGACCAGCCAAGCAGGATCAACATCATAGCCTGCTCTCTGGGGAACTGGCGCCTTCACGGCACGAGGATGAGTTCCATCGTGCGTCTTGGAGAATTGTAAGTTGTCCACTGAAATCTAAAAAGCAGAAATGCGTACCGTATTCATCATAGCCTCTAACATCTTCAGTTTGAGCGCCAGGAGCTCGGGAGTGATGAGAGACGCGGGTTTGTAACACACATCTAGCGATTCAATCAATGTCATAATCAAAGTGAAGGACGGCACAACGTACACGCCGCGATCCGTGCGTTGTTGCTCTTTGGGGGCGTACCATAATGACAAACCCTGAAGATGCATCGAATCAACATAATGCTAATGTACGTCGAGAGAGTGATACCTACCTCGAGTCCCACATAATGAGATCGCCGGGGTGAGCACAGACTTTGTGCCATTCTGCACCTGGACGCGACTCGAGCCACGCGATTTGCTCATCCGAGAATGCATAGCCTAAGTATTCGCCTTGTTAATCAAATAGTAATGGCATGAGAAGTGACCTACCATCATCGGTAGACCAACCCTCAGCAGGCTTATCCTTCTCGAAGACTTTGAAGATTTCCGTATAGTATTCTCTGCTTCCTTTCAAGACCATGAGGCCACCGTCTTCGGGTCCGTTCTCGTGGAGATTTATGATACCCTGGACGCAGTGAAGATGCTTCCGAAGGGGACTCTGATCTACATGGGGCCACGCCTTGCCTTCAACGTCGCCGGCTTTAACGAGGCCGGGCACAGAGATATTACACCCGTCAAAGCCGACCATGAGTTCATTGGTGTTCCAGAGCATCTCGAAGGGCTTCATGAGCTCAGGCTCACTGCGGAGATCCCACATGAACTGCTCATGCGCAACGCCGTACTTGTTGTAGAGTCCACCCTTGTGGCTGACTGGGAGCTTGCTCAAATCCCAGGTCGACGGGTCGTCGCGCTATTATCCGACGTAGTCAGAGACGACTCGGCGACGACCTGATAGCCGTAGTCACCTTGTATCCAAGACCGAAGCTTTCCAGCCAGTCGTGCATTCTGGTGATATACGCATCACACTTGTCCTTGGCTAGAACGCCTGGGACGACGGCCCATCCGTGACGCGCCAAATCGTCGCGAAAGTCGCCATAAGTGACATCAATGTCCAAGGTGGGCGTAAGGGGAGTGGGTTCCAATTGGACGGGGGCCATGGTGGTGGTTGGGGAACAAGAAATAATTGGAAAGTCCGATATCTAGACCTGCCGCGATAACAGGTTGGCAATATTTTGAGGCCTATCAAGTCACCAGAACCGTCAGCGGACCATTGATCACAGTTGTAGAACCACGAGGGCGCGATGCATGATTAAGGCCAAGGCCGGCGCCTCGTCGAGATAAAAATTCCTCATCGTACGCGAACAAGGAAAAAAGTCAACAGGTCTCCTTTTGAGATCGCAGCCGGAAGACCGCCCTTAGTCGTATTTTTACGTGTCAATGGCATATAGAAACCAGCTGCGAGCCCGTGCAGGCAGTCGATGGTGAGTGGGCTAAGGAGAGGGCTGCCGGCCCAAAATCGAATGATTTTCCGAGGATTCGCCGACCTTTGGATTCTGTCCCCCAGTTTACTTATGACCCCGCGCGACCTCTCATGACAAATACAGCAAAGGAGTGTGGGTGACAAGACAGAGTACAGGATACAACACTCAAGGCTTGTCATGAATAGCACGAAAAACCAGAGTCGATATCATACCAACGACAAATCCACAACCAGAAGACGCAGCGTAGATCAAGGTGCTATGCATAGAAGCAGCTGATCTCCCTTGGGCTTCAATGGTCGACACAGGCGACAAATCTAGGCCTCGATTTTTCCTGAATTCATCCAAAGCCCTACTCGCATCTGTCATGGAACGTAAACCAATCATAGGCGGGTGCGTGGAGTTGTCGCCATGATGCGACGCATACACGTTCTGTACAGCTCCTTTAGTGACGATGAGAAGACAAAGGAGTAAGAACAACCCTCAAAAAGACGTCTCCAAGTAGCCAATCGCCAGAATTCACCTAATAACGAGAGTAAGCGCTAAGACACCTCGTCAATGGGTAACTCGTTACCTTGTCATTTGCCTGGACTCCACCTACACACCAGCCTGTCCCATTGCCACCCGCAGCCCAGTTCACGTCTTCCGGATGTATAGGGAACTCCTTCATGTTGGCCCCAACCCCTAAAGCAAATGCAACAGAAACTGCCTTCTCACACTTAATCTCCCACATATCTGTCACAGGATTCTTCCTCGCCACTTCACCGGCGCCTGAATTTATAGTTTTCCAAAACGCTGTCACGTCCGCTGACGGGCCCAAAATAAGAGTAGTCCCAGTGTCCATTACCGCGATCGCATTAGGCGAGTCTTTGATGAGCGATGGCGATATGTGTAATATTGTTGAGTTGATTGTGATGTACTGAATGGGGAGTTTCCAGTAGTCATAGGCATCTGCGCCTGCCTTGAGGACGGGAGAGAAGAAGAAGTCGGAAAAGTCATGCGCAAAGTTGGAGT